CAAGACTGCTCCGGCCAAACCAAAGAACGTTTTCGGCCGCAGCTCGCAAACGTCCAGCACCTCCAGATGTGGATCAGCGCCAAAAGAAGGTGGCGTGGGAGAGAAAAGCAGGGGTGAAACGGAGAAAGCCGGCGACGGGGATGAAAGGAAACAACAGGACTACCGGCCAACGTATCCGACTTCAACAATTTCCTTTCACATTGCAGAAAATATTTCATTTGCAACTGCATATGTTAGTGTCCGTGTCTTTCCCATTTCTAATATTCGGTTGCCCTAAATGAAATAAAAAAGAGCATTTAGTATTGCCGCTGAATTTATTAAACGTGTATAAGGAAAGGAACTTCCTTTGCTGATCAACACTAATTTTACACAAAGGTACGAAAGGTATTACACATTAAAAATGGGCAACATTTATAAAGTTATATTATTCTGTAATGTTGCGCGGCCCCAACCTGCACGCAACAATAGTGGTGACTGCTATGAACTGGAAAGTACACAAAGTCTTGAGAAGGGTTTAAATCCCTTTTTATTCAACTTTAGAAATTACAGTTGCGTGCTCTTGACGCTCACAAACTACGCCGACCCGGCGAAATAAAAATAAGAAACTAAAAATGAATAATAACAAGTGACTACCTACGAGGCTCTCTAAACGTAACTAACCTAACCGCGTTCTAAGATACCGCTGATAATTCAGCAAACTTCTGAATATTACGTTGAAAGTTTTAACTATCTGCTGAGGCAAGTACACAGGCCGAAACGCGCGGTTCTTCAATTTCTACCTAGCCACCTCCACGCTCGTGAAGCAAGAAAGCACACTTTCGAACTCGTTTCCCTTCTATTTAACTCAGAATACTTCCGCTGACTATTTTGAATACTTTGCGCGTTCTACTAAAATTTACATACTCTGGCATTGGCAATTCCAGGGGAAAGTAAGGCTTGACAGGAAAGATAGTTTAAACTTAAAATAAATGTTAGTTAAAATAAATATAAACCCTACAATTCAATTTAAATACGCATGTCTTTATTTCTCTAATCCAAATCTATAGTAGTCCAGTTTCAAAAATAAATTTTCATTCTCCTAACTACAAATATAGTGAATTTACTGTGTATTATTTTAACTCAGAACATTTTTGTTATCTGCGAAAATTGACGTGCCTCATATTTTCGCAGATTACATCTGCAGAGAATGGATATATAATTAACGTGAAATAATGAATTAATAATTACCACACCTTTACTATGAACGGTTTTAAGTTAAAAATACATTTATTAAAAATCTCTGCACCTAATATTAATACACATTTACGGATTTAGCACACTAGAAGAAATAATACTTTTTCTCTCTAGCGAAAAAAATTACCTACAATTTTAAATTCACCACACTACAATGCCGCAAGAAGTGTAATCTCATGGCACCAAAATACAGCGCACGTCATTAAAGTAATAATCTTTTCGATACTGCTCCAAAATGTAAACAAATGGTACGGAGGTGTACTCTCGAGCTTAAGCAAAGGCTTCCTAAGCGTAGAGGAAATGATGTCATCGGAAGCCATACCCGATCCCGAGGATGTATTTTCCCTATGCGCGTATTGCGGTACAGAATGCTTATTTGCTACCCTCAAGCCCAAACAAAGTCAAGGCATTCCGACGCGTAGAGTAAATGATGTCATCGGAAGCCATATACAATCACGATTAGGAATTTTGCTCTATGCGCGTGGCGCGGTACAGAATGCTTATATGCTAATAAGAAGTATTTCATACTTAATATTCGCTGTGGTTTGATTGTATCAATTTTTCAATAATTTACTGGGATTTGCAATTAACTTATTAACACTTTAAAATCCATAACAGTTGATGGACACTGGTAATCTAATGCAGATTGTAAAACTGATGGAAACTGAACACGTCTTTTACGCTAAAACCTTTTGACTAACCTCGAAATAACCTAGCATGTTTCCATCCCGATTAATAATCTATATATATTTATACATATACGTGTGTATAAAAATATATAATTTCTAATAATAAATTAACAATAGCTTTCTAACTACCCTCTTCATTCTAAAAATACCAAAGTAATAGTTTTTCTAACATTATCTTTATACTTTATATAATTCTGATAGAGATCTATCACTTAATTTCTATTGCTCAATTATTCCTAGAGTGAGATGAAATCTTAACCCAGTATCCGGTCATTAATCTGTTTGGGGATCCGGAATATAATTTGGTATAAAAGATCTTTGCTGCGCAATCTCGCTCTCTATTGTAAAACTTCAGATTTACAGCGCTACGATGCCTGGATACCTCATCGCCAACCAGATGTCTTATCGCTCATCACGTGACATTGGTCACACCCCCTGCATCTGCTATCCTGTCTCCACGAGAACTACGTTCGGCATTTCCTTACCTGCAGCGCTCCTAGAAGCACCAAAGTTCGATAGCCGGAACACAACCTGCAATTTCGCAGGTTAATCGCGGCAAATAAAGCAAGTTGGAGTTGGAGAGATCTCGCTCTCTTTTATTTCGACTCTTCTTCCTCTTTGGTTAGCCGCTCTTTTTGCTTTGTCTTGCTGCGAACAACGCCGTAATAAAATGTGATATGCTATAAAAACTGGTGGAGTGCATATTACACCCTTGATGATGTGTGAAGCAGAAAACGTTTCAATAATTAGTTCGTTCTCCAGCCAAAAAAAAAAAAAGTTCAATTCGAATACATTTGTTTACAAGTCTCTCCTTCGTTATGCAATATTCAAACTACGCAGCGAAACAAATGCTCAAATCTGTTACAGCTATTGCCTAGTCATCAAGATAATTACAATTATTATTATCACATGTATTTGTGGTGTTTTGGCTGTAAGATGAAAGAATTGACTAGAGAAAGCCCCAATTATTTTGCAGTCATGGATGGAATGAAGTTAGAAGATAGCTGAAATACAGGCTGCGTTGTAGAGGATTCGAACTCAGAAAAGCACTACTAGCTTGATAATTGGCACATCATTTTTATTTCTTGATGACTAATTTTATAACACATATCTTCTCGACTGACAGAGCACAATGGGTGCAATCTGCACCCCACAATATTATATATATATACAACAAATTACATTTTTAGACAATAAATGAAAGTTGCCAAGCGGTTAGTTACATGCTTCCATGGCGAAAGTAAGGGAGAAAATTGCCGCTTATTGGGAAGCTGGGGTAATTATTATAAGCTCGGCTGTTTTGTTTCATTTTTAAATGGTGATTGGATAAATGCTCACTGTATTGCGGAGCATTGCAGACGAAACTAACGACGTAATTGGCCCAATACAGATTTTTTGAAAGGGAAGTCGGCAAATAAAATCAGGAATCAAAAGGGCTATTTCAGATTTGGTAATCTGTTAGTAATTTTCTTTCATATTTTATATCTTACGTATATTTATATGGAATATAAAATAATGTGCCAGAATGAACTTTTAAAACTTTAATCCAGCGCAAACGCAGCTGAGAATGTTAATAATGATAATTAGACAAGTGAATTAAAACATTACAGCATTTAATGTACCATTTTGTTTCTTGAGACAAAATATCCCTCGCAATCTTTCTAATCTCACCTCACATTCCTGAAGCAAACCTGATCTTTCATCAGAATTTTAGACTTGAATGTGAATTTAAGAGTAATTTTAGTCAATGCATTTAGACGTGATCGAGTAATTATTGAACAGTTATTAATCAATTGGAATGCAATTTATTTCATAGTTTTTTGAATTCCCAATTTTCATGTTGTTTTTTAATTGTAGAGATCTATAATATCTTATATTATACATCTTATATTAGAGTAATTACACTGGTGTGCAAAAATTAAGGACGAGACGGTTTTTTCAATATAACTTTGTACAAAAGCTTTCCAAATCAACACACTGAATACCGTAAGATCCCTTATACGTAAGGACATGAGTAATGTAAGCAACACTTACTAAAAGAGAAATCAGACAGATAAAAAGAAGCTTTATTGAAAAAGTAGCATGGAGCGCAATGCGACTGAAGGCCGAAACATCCCTGTGATGGATGTCCAGCAAGAAACATCCGGTCTTTAATAGGGGATATGATCTTCCCTGACTGCTAGGCAGGTTTCACAGCGTCTGCCCATGCTGAGAATGAGGGTGTCAATGAGTTATTGAGGCATTGCTGCCCATTCGTCTTGCAGCGCCAATCGAAGCTCCGGAATCGTTACTGGTGGTGAAGTACGAGCTGCTAAGCGTCTGCCTAGAAAATCCCATACATACTCGATGGGATTGAGATCCGGAGATCGTGTCGGCCAATCCATACGTTCAGTATGTGTATTTTTGGCCTTGTCGCGAAGTGAGAACTGAATTAATTGAATGAGAAATACTCATTCGCCTGTGAAAAACTGTTTCATTTTTGTTTTGCTTGCTTAATTTCTTTTATACATCGTTCTAGCTTTATTATAGTATTTAAATAGAACATGTGGCAACGATTAGATAATTCTTTAAATGATATAAATTTTGTGCATGAGTTATAATATGAACGAAATATAATACTGTTAAGTGAACTTAGCTCCAGAGTGTTGCTATGGTAAACAAATAGAGTGAATTTTAAAGAGTGCATTTATTCTATTGTGGTTTATGCGCTGTCGGCAAAGTAGATTTAATTCAATCCAATAAGTTTAAATGAAATGCAAGAAAAAGTGAGTATAATTTAATATACCGTACAAGGAAGTCATGTGGTGTACACATCAATTTTTTTTTAGCAATGTGTACATCTATAACCTACTACATTTTGTAAAATATCTTAAAGGACTACAGTATTTGATTGATATACCTTGCTTGTATACTTGGCTTTCAAGTTAACTTATGGAACCTAATTTAACCCACGAATAGAATAAAGATGCATGATTTTACTAACGCTTTTTAATGAGAAAAGTACAAAAGATGGCGTTGCAAATGCCCGTTATCAAATAAAGGAATTTTACTAGTAATTAATGCAACTTTTATACTTACGTATAAAAGAAAGGTTCGATGCTTATTACTTTTACTTTCCATTTTGTCATTTCCATTCGAAGGCCCGTAGTAAAAGAAATTGCAGCACTTTTACTCATGCAATAACCTACTAATCCAGGAAGACATACTTTACCTGAAAAGAAAATTATCCGCATAAATTTACATAAGCGCGAGCATATGTGTTCACTTTAGTAAAACACTATGGTTACAACTCAATAATTAGTTGAAAATTAATAAATATTTTTAACTAATAAATTATTTGAATTTAAATAAAGTTCAAACTGACAGATTTATAAACTTTTATTTTCTCAATGTTCCCTGTTCAATGAATGTAAATTAGATCTTCTATTGTCATTCTCCGGCTGCTACGAATGTGAGCACTAACACTCGTGCGGAATCTAATACGAGGCATTTACTAAATAGAAGATTTCAAGATAATTGCATAGTTTACAGTTTCAGGAATCTGAATTCCGAAAATGGACAATTTTGAGGTGGATAGTAAAATTGCAGAAAACAGAAAATTTTCGAGCTGGAATGTAATATCTAGAGGAAAAATCTTCTACGCGTATGACAACAAAGATGTATACGAGAATAGTATTATGCAATATCTTGTGGCGTGCGTACGGATTCGTAATGCATTGAATGCTCACAAAACAGATAATAGTTTGATGAAATTTATTTTCCCAACAGAAACACTTTTCAGTTCTGGAACTTTCCGAAACAGTATTCTGTCAGCTATTAAAGTAGAGCACAATTATTATTTACCACTTAAATTACTAATAACTTTAAACGCAATGCAATTCAAAGCTCATTTAAAGAGCGAAGCTCGTATGGAGATTTCTCAGTGCTCTGACCCCAAAACTGAGAAATGATGCTATCTTTTCGATCTTTATTATTTTCTATCGGCCGCCGGGAAATCCCTAGCCCCTTCCATTTCTCGAAATTATTGGAAGAAATATACGATTAAATTTACATATAAAGGCCGGATACGATTACAGTTACATTTAGGGATTATAATTACAGTTATTCAATTACAGTACTGATTATACACTGTTGGTCATTAAAATTGCAATGCCATAAAGGAAAGCAACAACAACAACAAAAAAAAAAAAAGATATTTAATGTACATGAACAGTATGGCATGAAGACAAAATGTTTAAATTTGTGAGCAGTTTGGAGGTTTAAAAGGGTGCGAAATTAGTAGAAACAGCTGCCAACCCTGGCAGCTAAAACGGCCTGGTTGGGCATGGGCTTGAATTACAGAAACGGGCAACTCATTGCATGCTGCTTTAAATCTATGCCACACTTCATCAACAGTATTAGCTGGAGAGCGGTGGCGGACCAGTCTCTCAACAACCAATGACAAGATGTTTTCAATGGGTGAGAGATCTGGAGACAGTGCAGACCAGGTCAGAAATCGAATATCTTCTGTATCGAAGATGATCAGAACAAGGCGTTCAATATGTGGTCTTGCATTATCTTGTTGGATGATGTAGTTTGGCAGGCCTCGAAGATAGGGCACAACCACTGGACCTAAGATGTCAGAAATGTAACTATTTACGTTCAAAATCCGAGCTAGAAATGTGCGTGTCGTGTACCAAACCCAAACCAAACCTGTCGATATGGAATCGGCGATATCACGGAACGATAATCCAAACTCTCGACAGGCAACAATCCTACCTGTATCGAATTCCGACACTTGCTGGTAAGCACTTCTTCTTATCCGAGGTATAACACGATATTCTGAGCAAACTCGGGCCTTACAAAGCGCCTGCTGAATGAGAAATCCACTACACAGCTTTTCTTTTATGCAGTGCTTAGATGTCATTTCTTCCTCATGCGTCGTCTAAATGCGCTGAAACACTAATCATTTGCATATACCGACCTCTCTTCATTGCATATGATTTTGACATTTCGCAGATCATTCCTTCCTAGTGTTGAAATTTTAATGGCCAGCGGTGTAGTTATACATGAATCATACCAAAATTTCGCCAAATGGTCGGCACGTTTGGCGACATTTGGCGATTTCTTGCCAAATTTGGTGACAAAAATTAGTTGCCAAAATCATCACCGGCTCAGGGATATCTCGCCAATTTAGTGAGATAGCCGTTTACTTCAGTGTTAAATAGACTTCCCTGTAATCTCATTTTTCCGGCAGAGCTTCATCTCTTGAGGCATTTCATGTTAAATTATACCAAAGATACTACATTTGTACATATCATTTGACTAAATGTATTTACGTAAATGCAAAATTCATAACAGTATTATGATGGTGAAGAATGCACGGAAAATCCCTCTAGAAATGTCTGGGTGACTGAATTCTTCTTTCATGTAACGACAGATAAGAAGAATTAGCACTAAGGTAATGATCAGCCATATTTTGTAAGACAGTGAGTAAACACTGTATTAACGTAGAGGTACTAGAGGGGTTATAGTCGGACCAGCAAGATAATTTTGATATTTTTTATTTTGTGTTATTTGTATTTTATTTTGCTTTCTTGTAAAATGGAAACCAAACATAAGTATCATTCGATAACACTTATATAATCTGATAACACTTATATAAAAGTTTTAAATAACTACATCACTGTCTTTTAAATCAAAATTGCATCGCTGAATCCTTTCAAAGTGGACTTTTTGTACTGGACAGCTTACTGGACACGTCTAATAACGGGAGACGATGATCTTAAATTCAATGGTTTCGCCCACAATTCAGACAGTAATATTGGTCCTAAAAAAATGCTTACTACATCCTAACACTCATTTTTTAGAATAAGAAAGAAAATTGAGTTTTTAGTTTTAAATGGCACATACCTTTCGAACTCTTCTAACTATACTGGAGCTTCTAGTGTCTTATTTATACACACACTAATCAATAAATTAACCTTTGAGATTTTCATTTAAATGAGTGCTGGGGATGAAATATGCAAACTGTTTTTATGACGTGGGTTACACGTAGTCAGAATGCTAGTATGAGTAAGGTGTAAGAGTGCTTTTTACTATAAATGAAGTAAAATAGTAAAAAGACCAATCTTTCACCATTTGAAAAAGGGTTTATTGTTGGTGCTCGTTTAGCAAGGAACTCGATTTCGAAGACAACAAATCTCACTGGGTTCTCAAAAGCAGCCATATCAAAGGTTTTCAAATGCTAGATTCCGAATACCCAGTCATTCTCTTGAAGACTAACTGCGGTTCGTGTACAGTTTTCCAAGACAGTTATCGACGTCGTCTTCAACGAATTGTACGGCAGAACTGGAACTCTACTGCGCTTCAAGTGACACAGGTTGTGAACAAAGGCTCTTTCCAATAGATTTCAGCTCGAACCATGCGCAGAGAATCTCAGAAGATAGAAATGCATAATCAGGTGCCTGTGCGAAAACCACTTATTTATGTCTGACATGCAAGAATTCGTTTGCAGTGGTGTCGGGAAAAAAGACGCTTTACACCTGAGGATTGGAAACAGATAATATGATCGGATGAATCACGCTACACTTTATTTTGCACTGATGAAAGACGTCAAATTTGGCGAGACTTGACGAGAACCCCGTGAAGGTATGAATCCATCTTGCCTTACTCGCACTGTGCAAGGGTCTGGTGGGAGTATCATGATATGGGGCATGTTCTGCTGGCATAAAAGTGGTGCCCTGGTGTTCCTCGAAGGTAAGCAAACAGCCACGAGAGATACCTAGATACACTGGCAGATCAACAGCATCTTGCAATGTTGCATTTTTACCCTGATAGCGACGGATACTTCATGGATGACAATGCAACTATACATCGTTCCTGAAGTGTTCAAAATTAGTTTTCGGAACATCACTCTGACTTACAGCACCTTCCCTGGCCATCGTATAGCCCGGATATTAACACCATAGAAAATTTGTGGGATATGGTGGAAAGAAGTATCTGACAGTACTCTCTTCTTCCATATAATTTACAAGATCTAAAAAAACCTGTATAGCCAATGCATGGCACTCTCTGGACGTAACTGCATTTCAGAAGCATGTAGACTTGACGCCCAAACGAAGCAGTTAGCCATGCCAACGTGGGTCAAATAAAATATTGATTTGGGGTTTCTAATACATTGGCCAGTGTTCTTAATATGCAAAGGTTTAACGCCAAAGATCTATAGTTTAAAGCTCCAGAGTTTGTTATTTAGAACTGCGAACTCATTTTTCTTATTTATTTTTAAGATATGCAAGCCATACTTTTGCCAAACTTGTTTTTAGAATCCATTATAATGTTATCACTTGTCTTCTAAAAGATTGGCAGTAATTCAACCACGGTCGCACTGTATATATTCAGACAAATGCAAACGTAGTAAAGGAATTTTTGCAATGCAATTTTTTGCGTCTTTTTTCCTTGAGTTTTCTAGCAATTCTCTCCAAAGCAGGTGGGTTCAACTCTATTAAATCGTCTCATTGTTTCTTTCAGAAACTTCATTTACTGTATGTAATTTTCAAATTAAGTTTTTTTTTTCGTCTTATTTTTTGAGTTTTTTTTAGCAATTCTATATATACGCGGCGTCAACCGCATTCAGGTTGTTGTTTGAGAGAAGGCTGTTGTTTGAGAGTTTTAAAGGCTGTTGTTTGAGAAATGAAAGAACTTTTTAGTATTACTTCCAGACAATTTTGGTCTATAAATTAAAACGAAACATTTAATTTATTTATATAAGAGAAATAATACTTTCCCTAAAGGATTTTCTGATACCTGGCTCATGTCTTCTCGTAATCAGTCCATTAAACTGTCGGAAATATATAGTTCTAGACCTACTAATGTTCTGCAAACTGAACCACATTGCCATGAGTCAACAAACGTTCTTTACTCTCGCTTTAAGTAGCGCATGTATTTAAAAATCAATTTTGAATCATACTATATATATATTTGATCTGAAATTAAAAACTCGAAATGCGTCAGTATTGTTGTTATTAAAAATTTCAATCATAATGTATATCTTATGTTACTTGTGCTTATGGATGCAAATTTTACATATCAGAAACATTTTATATTATATCGTGATTCACCCAGTCAGAATAAATATGCAAAAGAGATAGCTTACCCAAAAGGCTTGTAATATTAACAACGCGACCTTTGGATTTCCTCAGGAGAGGTAAGAAAGCTTTCGTAACTCGGATGACTCCAAACGTATTGACTTCAATAACATTCTGAAACTCTGAAAGGGACGTCCAATCAATCTCACCACCCTGGCCGATTCCTGCATTATTCACGACTGCCCACAAAACTACAAAAGCATTAAATATCGAAACATTTATGTAAAAAATATTTACAGAGCTTACAACATTTGCATTTCAATAATATAAGTGTCTCCAAGTAATCCTATAATATTTTCAGTATATTATTACAATTAATTCTCATTACAATATCATTTTTATTGTCATTACAGCATCACTTAGCATCTTTTATATCAATGTTATAATAAGTATTTATTATATTACGTTTATATTATTATATTAACTAAAAATTATTTATTAGATTGTGTTTATATTATCTAAAGAAACTATGTTATTGTATAAAATTGTGGGTTGGGGATATACGAGTATTTATGTATTTTCGGAAAGGAGAACAAATGCTTCTAAATTTGCAATATGTTTACGATCTCATAAATCGAAACTATTGTAAACCTTTAATACGTGCTCCTATCCTACTGAATATCTTAACGTAGCTTAACTTAAAAGTGCTAAAAAAATTTCAGTTCGATTATACACTGAAATCTTAAGCGCATTTTGTAGTAAATTTATCTGAAAGAATATTTTATAATAATAATTTGAATATCTCATAAAACGTATTGATTACTGTATCGAAAGCTAAGAAAAGAATGGTCCAGATAGCTGAGAGCCCACAAAGTCAAAAGAATGTTTCTAACAATTACCTTAAAGTGTTAAAATATTTCAGGTGGATTACATTCTAGAGTTTTTTTTTTTTCCAAAGCAGGAGAGAGGAAAAATGTATGCACTGCCCTCGACTCGATTTCTGAACCTCTCGAATACGCGTCGAGTATGCTTCCAATTACACCAGGAAAACATGCGAAAAGAAGGGGAAAATTACCTCATAATACATTGAAATCTTAACTGTATTTTGTACTAAATTTATCTTCAAGAGTATTTTATAATAAAATTTTGAATATCTCATAAGGCTTACTGCTTACTTTACCGAAAGTGGACAGTATTGGTAGATGCATACTAAGCACTAATACAGACAGCTGAGAGCACAAACAGCCTAAATAATGTTTGAAACAAGTATCTTACTTGCTGAATGGTGTATCACAGCAAAGAAGATTGTTCATTTCATTACTCGCGTCCGAGTAGCTAAGAAAGGCACTGGGTCATTTACAGTTTCTGATGGTTTAGAAGGCATAGTGATATTTAGAAAAGCACAAAAGGAATGTATAATTTGTTTCTTCATTTTATAACGCATTTTTCAACAGAAAAAAAGAGCATCTTGTTAGAGCATCTTGTCGCAAATATCGTCTGAGAAAACAGTTCGCGGTGTCGTGTTTAATATATTTTGTCAAACGATTTCTGGCATTTGCAAGAAAGAGACTTGCTTTAGAACACTGTGTTGGGAAATTTGTAAAAAAAAGTATGCCGTTATCAATAAGTGCAAGGTGTTTGAAATGGAACTCTCGCGCTACCAGATTAGAACCATCATTTACTTCCAGTTCTGATGCAAGAAAGGTCAGCTAAAGAATGCCACCAAATCAGGTGTATAGCTTTAGGCACTAATGTTGTATCATATGACACTATGAAAGTTTGGTACCGAAAGTTCAAAATCAAGGACTATGATATTAAAGAAGCACAGCGCTCTGGTCCGCCTACTGATGTTGATAATGCCAGCCTCCAAGAACGCGTGGATGAATATCAGTATGCAACCATTCGAGGGCTTGCTAAGGAATTTGACGTTAGTGCCATGCCCATTAGTCGCGCTATGTATCGCATAAACTTGACGTGCAAGTTCTGGATGCCGCGTGAGCTGACTCAAGCAGATAAGGACAGACGTGTTCGGGCATGCACTAATCTTCTCGGATATCAACGCAAGGAGAAAATTCTGTACCGGATCGTCACTTGTGATGAAAAGTGGGTTTACTTCAACAACGCAGACCGAAGAGAGGGTGCCGCCGATCATCCGCAGCGTTGCAAAGCGCAATTTGCCTAACAAAAAGATCATGCTTTGTATCTGGTGGGATTGCTGTGGTGTTATCCTCAAAAAAGTGTCTGTAAAAAGGTAAAATCCTTGACAGTAAGGTTTACAGCGAGGTGCTAGTCCGTGTTGACGTTGCTATTAAGGGGAAACGTGGAACTATCACAAAAAGGTGATGTTCCATCGAGATAATGCAAGACCGCATTTGTCTGCATTCACCGGCTGGACTCTGTATGGACTCGAATGGGATCTTTCGCCACACTCACCATATAGCTCCGACATCGCTTCTTCGGGTTTCTACATTTTTTCGCTCTTGCGAATATATCATGCTGGTGTTATTTTGCACGGAGCATCTGATCTGTTTTCGGACTCGCGGCCACGACGTTTCTGGACCGAAGGCTTTGAAAAAGTACCAAAACGTTGACAGAAAAATTATAGATTTGTGCAGTGATTACTAATTGCATAAAAGGTACTGCTTTCATTTTTTCCTATCTTTATTAAGTACATTTTTTAGTGGAACATGTTCGCTACAACCGGATATTTGTTGTAGGAAACGCATATTACGGAAATAAAAGTAGTTCAGAATTTAAATTACAGTTTTTTATGACATGTAGTGTTTTATAATTATCCTAAAAGCAAAAAAGACACAATTCAAACTAAAGAAATTTGGCCACCATCTGTACAGAATTCAAAGCATCTCTTTTCTACGATATATTGGCTGAAATGCGCATTTTTTTTCTAAGAACCGTAAATCCAGTTATTCTGTTAGCTGATTCAAGTTGAAAACCACACTGAACACTAGATGTCTTACCTAGTCATAAGAGGGAAAGAGCGAGACAATGAGTCTGGTTTTGCACTCCCATCAGTTTGAAAGTTGATAGTTCGTTAGATCCTATGCTTATATGTTAAGTAAATAAATAAGGGAGCTAAATTTTAAGCTGCCTGTCTAATCGAATACATTGTGTGATTATAAAAATGTCAAAAAATTTTCTACAACAGCCTGATCAATGATATATAAACAAGGGTGTACAAAATAATATTCTTGGCTACTCCCAGTATTGATCCCAGTTTTGTCTCAGAAAAGAAGTTGATGGAAATTTGACGAGTAAATATATAAAATGACTACAGCTATTGCTGTGCGCTTACATAGCAAAGTCTGGAAATGAAGAATGAGCCTAAAATTACTGGAAGTTCAAAAGAAGCCTGAAGGACAGGGAAAAAGCTTTGTTCCCCAGACTGGGGTAGGATGCGTTCATTGGCCAGTCCTAAGAAGTTTTTGTATCCATACAGCTAATGGAATTTTATATCACATATTTGCTAAGTATATGTTCGTCAATTTTTCTTAAATATTCATCTTAGACGTGTACTTTCAATTACGAAATTTCTTAAAATTAGGTAGAGAATTTAATGTTGCTTTGTTTGAATGGAAGTAAATAGGAAATAGTTTAACCGTTTCATCCAATTTCAATTAAAGGTTTGTAATTTTTTTATATTTTATTTCACTGCCATTTAATTCGAGAAAAGACATTAAATGTACATAATTTCTTTTGCATCTTTTCTTGAAGATATTCTCATTTAGGAGATTCTTGATTTAACTTATATACTTTTTAAAGCAAATGTACTGGTACTATACGCAACGAATAAAATATATAAAATTCCATCAAATAAATTTCATATAGTATGATTTGAATTTTAAACTTACTTGAATTTTTTCAATGGCCTCCTCATAATAAAAGTAAAGAAAACGGAATTGACCCAAAGCGTTAATTTGCAGTAAATAATAAGTAGATAAGATAGTTCTTTTCCGCTAAAATAAACTTATTTACAAATTAGTTCCATTCAAACAATAATTTAAATAAATAACATATGGCATGAAATCTGAGAAAAAAGCAATCAATTAAATTTGTAAAAATGTTCGTAAATAAAAACATAAGCAGGAAATCATTTAATAAAAATAAATATTTTTCATAACATTGCATATTATATAATTGAATTCTTAAGACTTTTGTTTTTTAAATTTCACTAACGTTAGGAATTTGAGTTTATTTCCGTTGGAAATTTTTCTTGTAAATTTTAAATTAAAATCCATGCTTGTTTAGATGGAAGTATTGGTACATAGCTTAAAATATTTTATAACATGAAAAGATACTCATTTTTGTCTCTTTATATACTTATAGTATACCATCTGCTCCAAGGTTATTCATAACGAAGTCTTTGGCTAAGTCGACGCTCTTATCATTTGTCACATCCAATGGGATTATTGTAAGATCAGAAGAACTGTTATTAGCTAAGTCCTTTGCACCTTCACCATTCGGGAAGAGACAGCCTGCAAAAACACGGTACCGTAAGCCATCCATGCGCTTAGCTAGCATGTTGCCGAATCCCGAATCACAACCTAAAGAGAACAAATGGATTACAAATGGGATGACAACATCATTTCAAGAGACATCTCAAAAGTCTCATTAGACAAAATGTAACTATTTTGAAGAGAAAGACAAATGTAAAATAATTTGATCATTAGAAAATGTACATTGTTTGTATTTTACTAAGCATTTGTATTTACTATAATTTTGCTTTTTACTAAGCAAACATTCTACAGCCTAACAAATTTCACTATAAAAAGACATATTTTTAAGCACTTTCATATTTTTGTATGAAATAAGTGTCATTGGTAAGCATTCATCAAGGCTTGAGCGCTCAAAAAACGTAGTTATTACTTTTAAACGCTTACATGTTCGTCTTAGATACGTAATTAAACTACAAATTTTCTTAAATTATAGTAGAGAATTTTATGAAAACAATTCTTTTTCTATAATGGCCGGGCGCTTTATTTAATAGTCATTAGCCTTGCGTCGCTACAAGGGCCGGAAATGGTGGCTATTTCTTTATGAAAGCACGCATAAGGGGGCCACCGTTGCCCCTATAAACGGACCGACAGTTACAAGCATACCTTCTTCGGGATTCGAACGCGGCCCTACCGCTATGGCAATCAGGATCACTAACCACTATGCTGTCTGAACGAAACGAAGGCAATTAATATTAACATTTAAAATGCAAGATTTCTTTAGAATAAAATATTACAGTATCGCATTTGGTTTACAGGATTAAAACATTACGTATCTTTCTAATTGTTTTATTGTACTTTTTCAAAAGACATTAATTAAATAGTTACTTTTAATAGTTAGTAGCATAAGTTTAAAATTCTATTAATTGCTCTACATGTAACATTTTAATTTTTACTTATTTCTATGTAATTATTTACTTCTATTACTATTAGGTTTCGAACGCTTAAGTTTTCTTCTTGCTTTTTCAGCAAAAGTTTATTGGTTAATACGAAAATATGAAATATAGAGGTAAAAACATTACTTGTTTCTTCTGTTCTCGCAAATATTTGGCAAAAATTCGCTTAACGCCTCTTTATTTTCTACCGTGATGTTTTACACCACTATATTTTAGAACTGCGATTTTATTTGTTTCTTTCCACCCACAATAGTTTTGTACGACGAAATTTTCCCTTTGCGTGGTTTTCTCAGCGTCGTTTTTGTTCGCGATGTTTTTGACAGATACCATGAAGCTCCTGGCTCCTCAGCTGATCATACGTATTTGCATATCAATTGATCATATTCTTCCTTAAAAATAAGAGCTAGCGTATCAAATGCTTGCAACATCTATTCGTAAAAAGCAGTTTTTTACTTCCTTATATGAAGTAAAGAAAGTATTGTAATAGCAAAAATTTTCAGGTACATATTTCAACGGAAATTCGCATTTTGATCTTTCAAGAATACATTTTTATGATTTTTCGTGATCATCATTCCGTGGCCTCCCTCAAATTTCAAGTACCAACTAAAACAACTTGCTTCAAAATCTTGGCAAGATTTGTGGAACAATGCTCCACAGAGAAGACGCACATATAACTTGATCCCCAATGTAATCTTCGTATCTCTGTACTAGAATCCTTCACTAAATTACTTTATAACAGGACATGGATCCTTCCTCACTATTTCTACGCAAGAAATTTGGCAAATTCTGATATCTGTATATGTGGGGAACAGGGAACTCCTGATCATTACCCTTTCTCATGCCCCTTAACTGAAGATATTAACATAAAATTTCCAAGAACCGATTTCCTGGCATTCCAAAGGTTTTTAATTAAGGATAAACATCAGTATAGAAAATTTCAGAAAATTATGCAACGACTCTCTTCCTACGGCCTAGATCTCTGTCAAGTGTAAGTCCACATACTGCTTAGTGAACTTTTACATGCTGTGATTATGGATAAAATGGCTCCCCTTGTGAACTTTATAAACTGCAATAAGCCAATATATCTGAAATAACCCATGGACACCTACCTCTTTAGCATTATTATAACAACTCATTTAACATTGTGTTGCCAGTACTAATTATAATTATATCATTATGTTTAAGTGTTTATTAATTACGTTTATCTCCTATTTTTGTTGCACCAAATCAGATATTCAATTTATCTTGTGAATCTCAAATTGTATTCCAACTATTTTGTAATCTACTATGTCGTACATCATTATTTTAATTAAATACTGGATGCAGGGCGTACTGTGGGATTGCACTATGTACCATAATAGACAAACTCTAGACCTTTTGGAAAGCTTCACTCTATGTAAATTCCTATAAAACTTGCAATCCCCCCTTTTTTTTCAGAGTTAGTATGGGAAGGCATTACCAGTTGACCTATGGTACATCGCTGGTGTCCCCCATACTTTTACCTTTACCTTTACCTTTACGTACAGAATGCACGTACATGCAGACAGAATAAAGGATACGTTTTCCCAAACGGATTGTAAAATTGATTTAGTAGGAACTTTTTCGGGACCGATTGTACGTATGTATATATGTATCACGCACAATTCAAAAATGAAACTGTTAAAAACGTGTAATTAACTTAAAAGAAGTTTAATATTTGTATTGGCATGTCTCGAATACATTTTAAAAGAAAAAAGAAAAAATTAGTACATACAGTAAGACCCCGCTTAACGCGGGGGATACGTTCCATCAAAGTAGAGCGTAATGCGAAACAGTGCTAAACGAGGCTATCTTTACATGTAAATATTGGGGTTAGGGGAAGATGGCTAGGAAATTGGTTAGGTATTAAATTTAAAAAGTATGTTTTTTTAATAAAAATAAAACCAAACATTTATTTCTTAAAGCCCAAATTAATACCACATTATTATTTCTTGCAAAAATAAAAATAACAAAACGAATATTCTTTAAAAAAACAAATAAAATTCTCAGTCAGTCATATTTAGTTAGCCTTCTGCGTTTTCAGTGTTCTGCATTTTTGTGACAAAGGCATCTAATGTTGTTTGCCTTTTTCTTTTGCGTTGTTCTCTTAAAAGTTCTTCATAAACGGATAGAGCATCTCTAACACCACGCCTTACTTTTGAGCTCCTGTCAAAATTCGGATCATTTTCAATGAATTGATCCATTATTTCAGTTATGGTAGACAAATTCCTTTTTACAAACGCCATCGAAAGTTCTTTTTGCTCTTCTTCTGAATCACTGCTGTCAACATTTTTGTTTTCTTCTTGTTCAATTAATTCCTTGAGCTCATCATTAGAAAGACTAGCCGCGCTGCTTCTTGAATTATTTCTTCGACATCTTCCACATTTACCCCTTCAAAATATGTCTGTACAATACCGCACCAAACAAGAAATACAAGTACACTCTTTCGGATATGTATTTGAAACCTATCGCTGCATAATATTTCGGGGAATCCCCGTATGCTGCGAGCGATTTCGTGGAATCCCCGGGTTGAAATAAAAGAGCGCTAAACCGAAACAGCGCTAAGCGAAACAGCGTTAAGCGGGGTCTTACTGTACATAAAATGTACGGTACAACATAGTCCGAAATACGAGGGTTCGGGCAAAAGTCATGTATTCGGGCAAAGTATTTCTTGTAGATATGTGCACGGATCACAAAACGTATGTGTGTCGTGTGGAAGCTCTGTAGGCATAGTGTGTATGCAGAACAACAGATGGCTCTGTGGTAGCGAGGGTTCTGAAATCAGTCAGTTGGTGAGTGCCGTGAGAGATGGAAGTCACCTGTGTTGAGCAGCGCGCTTACATCAAAATAGCCGTTCTCCGAAGGAGAAATGCGATGGAATCAGTAGAAGTCCTTGGGAATAATACCCTACCATATCGTACAGTAGCACGGTGGGTAGGAAAGTTTCAGCAAGATCGTGTGTAAACCAGTGATGAGCAACATTCGGGACGACCGGTGAGTGTGCGGACCGACTTGGCACGTGCCGTCATCGAACACCTCATGGATGATGACAGATTATGAACATTACTGGAGTTAGAGAGGGCAAGTGGCATCGAGAAACGCACCGTCCACAGGATATTGCATAATGAGCTAGCGTCAGAATCCTTCCCCAGTCAAATTGGTGAAGATCGTCGCATATGACGTCAGGGGTGTCATTGTTTGCCACTTTTTTCCTCATCGCAGAGCAGTGACCGCACAATACTGCAGGGACTTCCTGGTGCGACAGGTACGACGTGGCGTTCGGGATAAACGTCCAGATCTTGTGGACAGTGCAATAATTCTGCACGACAATGCAAGACCACATAAAGCAGAGTGTGTACGGCAGCTACTCCGACGTTGGGGATAGGAAGAATTGGAGCACCCCCGTACTCTCCTGACCTTTCGCCCTGTGATTTTGATCTCATTCCCAAGACTAAGGAACCAATACGTGGAAGGCGGTTTGCAACACGAGAGGACATTGCTAATGCTGTGCGCCAACAGATGATCCGATTCACACATGGTGCGACAAATGCTGAGGCTGATGGTATTCAGCGCCTCCCACATCGTTGGCAGCGTGTGGTGACAGTAGCAGTGGACTACATTGAGGGTCTTTAGGCCCAGGTTTGTCACGTCAACTTTATGTGTATAATCATAACTTTATGTGTAATGTTATCATTCTTTTGCACGGTGAAGGCTATATTGCCCTGTATACTCCGTAATAAATTCGTGTGTTACGATATTTCGGTGCTATTCATTGTCCACACATGTAGTTAAGACCTTGTCCTTTCGTCTGTATATGTCAAATTTTTCAACCGGCTGGTATCTTCAAGAAAAAAAAAAAAAAAAAAAAAACAGTTGCCATGACTTTTGCCCAACCTACGTAGTTTGGGCATGATATGATGTTTCGTTTCTCTCGTATGTTTCAATCAATTTTTTAATCGGAAAAAACTAATATACAAAATTTGGTAATAAATTAATGTTATTCAGACATCAAGATAATTTCCCTATATATAGATGTATATAAACTAGGTCTCTCAATTTTAATTTACTAATTTCTACCTTTATTAATATATATATATTGGGCCATATAAAAAGATTAAGCAGTTTTTTGGTACACTTCTTATTTTCTTTACTGAAAA